CACTCCCAGCTCCCTTTCTGCCTGGCTGCTCTCCAGCCCCTCTGTGCCCAGCCCATGGGGCTGCCGGGGGTTGTTGTGGCCAAAGGGCAGGACCCGGCCCTTGGCCTGGTTGAACCTCATCCTGTTGGAATCAGCCCATGGATCCCACCCGTCCAGGTCCCTCTGCAGAGCCCTCCTGCCTTCCAGCAGATCAACACTCCCCCCCAGCTTGGTGTCATCTGCAAGTCACTGGAAATGAAAAGCAGGCCCAGTGACTACAGACAAATGCTCAGAGGCCTGGTGGTCACCAATTCCACCCTCCTGGGACAGGCTGGTCACAGCACCCAGGGAATGCTCTGCTCTGCCACAAGGGCCTTGTTTAGGGAGCCCCAGCTCCACCCCAGAGCTCTCACTGCACACCAGGGTAACACAGCACAAAGACAGTTAAATGCACCAGACAGTCAGTCAACGAGCAACAAATCCTTGTTTCATGTTACAGGTTTGAACACATGAGAGTGATGAGGCACAAAGCTGTGCCAGGGCAGGGTCAGGTTGGATCTCAGGGAAAGGTTCTTCCCCCAGAGGGTGGTTGGGCACTACCCAGGCTCCCCAGGGCAGTGGGCACAGCCCCAAGGCTGCCAGAGCTCCAGGAGGGTTTGGATGATCCTCTGGGCACAGGGGGGGATTGTTGGGGTGTCTGTGCAGGGCCAGGGGTTGGACTGGATTGTCCTTGGGGGTTCCTTCCAGCTCAAGATATTCTGTAATTCCAGATTCTCTGTGTTCCTGCTGCAGTGCAAAGCCACTGTCTGTTAATGTTTGTGTTCAGGCCAGAGCCTCAACCCCTTTCAAATGGAAACAAATTTAACTTGGGAGAAGTAGAGAATACGAAATAAACAATCAGGAGGAATAAATCATCAGGATTTAAGTTGCTGCAGCTGCAGTCCCAGCCCTTTTTCTGCATCAAAGTATCCCAAGTTAAATGTTTGGGTTTGTTGTTTTGTTTTGTTTTTTAAATAAAGTGTTTATTCTGAAAATAGACTTCGGGGAAATAAAGGGAAGAGCAAAAAAAAACACAAACAAAAAGCTGTTGGCAGATGTGGTCAAACACATAATTAAAGCCAGACATGTCTCACACAACAAGAACTGTTAATGGCTCACACCCCTTTTCTCTACACTTTTACATATCCCAGTGTTTTCAGACACCACTTAATGACACGAAAAAAATAATTATGCTCAGGATCACTTGGAAGACATAAAAACAATGCTACTAAAACACCACACAAGGCTGTGGCTTCGTTCCAAAATAACACTTCTCAAGCAGACTGTTGCTACTGACAGCCCTGGGGATCTCCTGCTGATCCAGCAGGGAGATCTCAGAGCGGGGACTCACAAAGGAGGAGTTGTGCAGATGGCAAATTGTATCTAGAATTAAAGCTGAGATTAAAGTTCACACACCCACATGCACAGAAGTGCCTGAGTAATGAAGTCTCTCTTTCCTGGTGAGCTTTGGAAGCCATGGTGTCCCAGGACAGGGCACTGCAGGGACTTTACTGACTCCTGAGGGGAAATTAAGCCCTGGATTTATCTTCCCTGCCCTCACACCTCACCTGTCTGAACAGAAAACCTTCTGCTGGCAAAGCCCATATTGCAAGAGTAACTCCAGCCAGGGCTCTCACCTGGCAGTGAGGGGGCCTTACCTTTTCTAGCAGGTAATTATTGATGTGCCCACCTATTGGGTCTCCTTTAAAATCAAAGTTGATGTCCATGTACTTCCCAAACCGGCTGGAATTGTCGTTCCGGTTTGTCTTGGCGTTGCCAAAGGCCTCCAGCACACAGTTGGATTTCAGCAGGATGTTCTTCACTCTGCAGGATGGGGGGATGGAAGAGGGAACGGGCTAAGTCCAGACCTGAGCCCTCAAAACCATGGAATCTGTTCCACGAGCGTTTCTGGGGAAGGATTCAGCTCTCTGCTGACACAGCTGGGCAGATGTGGATGACATCAGCAATCCCATGGGAAAGCAGCTGGGAGCTGCCAGCAACACTCCTTAGAGCAAGCAAAGGCCCTTTGGTTCAAAGACCAAATCCTGACTCAAAACAGCATCAAAAACTCAGCTCCTTTCCACATTTCAGTTTTGAAACCAATTTATTGAGCTCTTTTGCAAAGTTTATTGGAGGTTGGTGTTAACTCTGTTTCAGCAGAAAGGCACATTCTTTGTTCCAATGCTTTTACTCCAGGACTAACAGGCACATTTTGCAAATCAGGAGCATGTGAGCCTGGAAGCTCATGGAATACACTCCTTGCACTCAACATGCTGTCCTAATGTACCCCGACTTCGGGCAATTTGCCCCAGGAAAAGTGATTTACAATCACTGGAAAAGACCTGTAAGATCATCAGATGGTTGCTATTGCTTGGAAGGTACCTCTAGATACTGGGGTTTTTTTAATTTTTCTGCACGATTTTAGCAATTAATATTGCAATTAAAATTGCCAGAGTAAAAGCAGTATCTGAAGAAGTTAGGGAACTGCTGTAAAAATCAGCATATACAAGACACCCTCAGCCACAGAGCCCACTGAAAGAGATCCCCAAATTTCCCTCGTTTGCCAGGCAAGGCCTTACCTCTCCACCTCAGCCCTCTGCCCAGGGTTGGTGATGGCTGCAATGTACTGCATGATGTATTTACTGGCCTCAGTTTTCCCAGCTCCACTTTCACCTGGGGGCAGAAACACCAGGGTGACCCAGGAGATGAAACAAAGCAAAGCAAATCACTGCACAGAACATCTCAATTCTACTCCAACAACGTCTGGGGGGTTTTGATTTGTTATTTTAAAACCATCTTTGTGTGCACTTGGGGCATTTTCTAGGCCCTGTGGCTGCGCTGGCTCGGAGCAATTGTGATGTGAGACTTCCCAGGTCGGGAACGGGCCTGGCACACAGAGGATCAAAGGAATATTGTTAGAGGAGAAAGCCTGGCTGGGCAGGACAAGGGGCCACTGTTCAGCCCCCCAGCTCGGGGCTCTCGCCTTTCAGAGCTCGGGGACATCAAGGGAAGGAAGTGCCAGGATCCAGGCAGGGAACGAGCCCAAACCAGCTCAGGGGCACGACCAGCAGCTCCTGAGCAGAGACAGGCCCTGCTCTGTGGATCCCTGCAGTGGGATAAGGCTCCTGCTCCCGTTATCCCTCTGCAGGCACTGCCCCAGCTCCTGCCTGGCTGGGAGAGGGCTGAAGGACTGAAGGAGAGAAGAAATAATTGCGACATCTCCCCACACGGACTCGAACGCAAACGAGCCTTAAGACTACTGAAGTTTTTTCCTTTATAGCCAAACCCCCCATCCTCCTCCTGCCTGGGATGTCCCCAGATGTCCCCAGGCCGGCCCAGCTCACCTGAGATGGCCCAGCTCACCTGAGATGACGATGCAGGTGTCCTTGGAGCGCCTCTTCATGGCCTTGTAGGCGGCGTCGGCGATGGCGAAGAGGTGGGGGGGCCTCTCGTAGAGCTCCCGGCCCTTGTACTGCTCGATGGTGTCCCGGCCGTAGATGTTCAGGTTCTTGTAGGGGTTCATGGAAACCACCACCTCCCCAATGAAGGTGTAAATCCTGCCCTTCTCAAACCTGCCCAGGGGGGACAAAAAGGGGGGAAATGAGTCAAATGGAGAGGTTTGGAACACACCTGCCCAGAGCCCAGCAGTGAACTCTGAGCCACGGGAACACCACAACAAAACCTGGGCTATGGACACTCCCTGGATGGCACAGCAGGGACAGAGAGACCTGAGGGTGCAACAACTATCAGCTTTTAGTTTAGCACCTACAGAGGACATTTCCACTGCTGCTTCACTGACAGGTGCACAAGATACAATTTACGGTCTCCACAGCTGACAAGAAGTCAACACAAGTGTGAGGAGCAAATAAAATCTGCTCCATAAAGGGGATTTAAAGGCAAATTCTTTTTTTCACGTTCTGCAGTTGTCCATGACCCAGTTAAAGGCCAGAGAAGCCCCTCACTGAGAGGTCTAATCACACTTGGAAGAAAATAAACAAAGACAGAAGCCCAGGAGGGAATTGCAGCCTTTCAGCTCCAGCAATGAGCTTCCACCCCATCCATCCATTTTACTGGAAGGCACCTTGGTATCACCACTGCTGCTAAACCAGAGGGCAAAGATTCCTAAGAATGTGTAAAAACAACCCTAAACTGCACCTTTCCTAAACCCTACCTGGCCCTTGCATTCTTTCTGCAAACAAGACAGAAAATAACTGGAAGCTTGTTTATAAAAAGTGTTTAAGTTAAAAGCTGTTTCCAAGGAAAACCACATTTTATCGGAAGTTACCTGTCAGGAGAGCTCACAGGAGTTCCAGGTTAACAGCAGAAGAAATTTATACAGCTTTTGCTTCTCAGGAGGAGAAAGGATGGCAGGAGATTTCGGGATCAACACCCAAACCACGGCATTTGCACCACAACTACCTGTCTGCAGCTGCACTTAAACCTCACAACGTTAGATGGCACCAGAACCCCTCCAACAGAGCCCAGGGGCCTCCAATCCCTCCTGGACTCCGGCACAAATTCCAGCATTACTTTATTGAATTTATTACCACCCCCACGTGGTGACAGCCCTGACATTTTCTATTGTTCATTTGAGAATTTTCTGCAGCATCTTGGCAGTCTCAGTTTTTAGCAGGTGTAATAAAACTCAAGAAATATCATCCAGCAACCAGCATTCCACTTTCTGGGAGTGCTTGTGCCTCCAATTCCAGCTTCCTCCCGAAATACTGCACTAAAAAGACCCAAGAACTGCAAAATGTCTTCTTCCTGCAATCAGTTTTAACTGAAAATGTCTCGATATACATTTCCCAAAACTTAAAATGCAAAGATATTTTTGAGATATACGCTGTTTGAAAGCTACCACAAATGTTTTAGAAAAGATAATCTTAAAATAATTACCAGTATCAGTACACCTGATTTTAACTCTGAGAAGCACAAAGCAGGTGGGAATTGTGGTATTTGGAAGATCCCAAAGAGGCAGAAGGTGCAAAAGGATCAGATACCAGGCTCCTGCCCTCTCAGGAGCCCTCGAGGGACTCTGCATATACATAGGAGAGCTTGAAAAACCAAGCCCACACAATACTGTTGCTATTAAGGAGATCAAGTCACACATAAATATATAATGGAAACCACTACAGGGACACCACAGTCAGCAGAATCATCCCATCTTTTGGAGTTGGACATCCAAAGGTGAATTATTCACTGGAGAACACACAGAGTGCTCTCCAGAAGGCCCTGCCCAGCAGCACATACCTGCTGCTCAAGGCACTGTTGATGACAAAAATAAAGATACAGCAGTTTGTGGGTGAGTTTTTAAGCCCCACAGCACTGCCACAGACAAGGGGGAGAGTTCATGGCTCCAGAGAGGGTAAAGGGAGGGTTGTTCCAGCTGCTGAGAAGAAATAAAGGAATAAAGGCCCATTGTGCCAAGTCACCATCACAGCACCCAATACTCTGACCTCTTCCTTAAGTCATGAATTATGTAAACTTGCACTGGCAGAGCCCAGTTTAAGTTTCCTCTAGTGGCAGTTCGGTGTCCTTGCCTGAACCCCAGAACCATGGAACATCCTGAGCTGGAAGGGACCCACAAGGATCACCACAAAGTCAAGCTCTAAAAGGTTTCACTGGGCTCTGACAAGTTGTGTCTTCACCTCTGTGGCAAAAGGCAGACGGAGGCGAGGGAGGAGAAGGATCCACCTCCAGGCCTGACCAACAGACCTGTCTCCAGCTTGGCTCTAAGGACCCAGACTTCATGAACAACTGACACCCCCATTTTTACTTCTTGCTTCATTTTTCTTTACACTTCTTAGCACTGGAGTTCAAATTCCAGAGCTGGGCTCAGATGTTCCCGACGGCTCCTCACCCCTCCTGGCTGATAAAGCCCCTTTTCATCCCTCAGAGCAGCCCAGGCCAAGAACAGCAGGAACTGTTTTCCTGCTGGGAGAGCCTGGCCCAGGGAGAACTCGTGGAAACTTAAGGAAACAACCCACCAGGGCAGAGGAAACGGGGAGCAGGAGCTGTGTTACAGCCTCTGCTCTCCAGGGCAAGGGCACAAAGCAGGACAACAAAGCTCTTTGGTGCTTTTTGGAAAGGCTCATCCCCCATCTGGGGAAACTCATCCACACCAGGGCCAGTGCAGCCATTCCAGGGCTGAGGTTTAGAGGCAGAACTGGACTGTTTTTTATTAAAAGGAACAGCAGCAAGTCTGCTAAAGGGAACCCCAATATCCACTCCTGGGGCAACACCCCCACGGTCAAACCTTGGTTTGTGTCTCTCATGGAAATCACGTCAGCTTGGGCTACAACAAAACATTTCCCTGTAATAATTCCATTGGAACCATTCCTGTATAAACGTCATGGAATCACAGAATATCCCCAGAGGGAAGGGACCTCCAAGGATCACCAAATCCAACCCCTGGCCCTGCACACACCCCCCAACAATCCCACCCTGTCCCTCAGAGCGTTGTCCAAACCCTCCTGGAGCTCTGGCAGCCTTGGGGCTGTGCCCACTGCCCTGGGGAGCCTGGTCAGTGCCAACCACCCTCTGGGGGAAGAACCTTTCCCTGAGATCCAACCTGAGCCTGCCCTGACACAGCTCCAGCCCTTCCCTGGGGGCTGTCCCTGCTCCCCAGAGCAGAGATGGAGCTGCCCCTCGGGAGGAAGCTGCAGACCCCAATAAGTGTCCCCTCAGTCTCCTCTCTCCATTAGCTCAGCAACCAAAAAGAAATTCAGAGTATTTAATCCCTGTGAGTTATTCTGAGGAACATCAGCTCTTCCATGAGAAGTTTTTATACTAGTTTTTATTACCTCATTAAAACATCAATTGATAATGAGAAAATAAAAAGCAGTGAGTCACAGACTATAAATCACTGAAAGGGAGAGAAATTATTCTCTAGGAAAGAAGACCACTAAGGCAAGAAAAAGGCTCTTACTTTGTTTTGTAGTCTTTATGTTTAAGGAAGGGAGTTAAGTCCAGACACCCCATGTTCACATCCAGTTCCCCCTGGAAAATCCACTGCAGGAATGGGAGCACTGGAGCAGAAATCCTCACCAGCAGAGAGCACTCAACATTTAGGATTTCCTCCACCTGACAAACACTCCAGTCAAAAATAAAACCGTTCTTACCGAGGAAATGATGCAACTTCAAATGCACTCAGTACAAATAAAGAAAAGAGTTAGCTGGCAGGGCTTGGAACCCACACTCCCAAACAACATCTGCAGGACAGGGACCCTGCAGGACAGGGACCACAGCCATCCCCTGAGCACACACTTCCAGCTGATCCTTGAGCAGCAGCAGCTTGAAGTAAAGAAATGTTAACAAAAAAAGAAAGGGAAAAGCAAATAACTCAGGACAAATCAGGAGTGCTGCAGAGGCACTGGGCCACAACTAACCTGGTCCCACTGAAGGTGAAGAGAATAAAAATATGGTTTCAAATATTCTGTATTTCCAGCCTTATCTGTGAACCCCAAGGTACAAACTGAAATACTGAATATGAACTATTGAGTATGAGCACACAGATTTTTCCTCCTTCCTCCCTGTGCATGGCAAGAAGAATAATCCAGCAGCTCCACAGCCCTGGCACGCAGAGGAGGGACAATTCCTTTCCCTGTTGGAAACACCCCATGTGATTTGGGTTACTCTCCCAAAGGGGGCAACAAGTCTCAGTTACTTTTTACCACCAAATGTAAACATTAAACTCCAATCCCGCAGGCTTTGAGTCCATTCTCTTTGCAAACACACACGAAGATATTTAACTAAGCCTCAAGGATGGGCCTTTAGGATGTGCTCACCAAGAAGGGAATTTAAGCAGAACTTCTGGCAGTGAAACCATATTTACCTGGTTTTAAAGTCGAGAATGTGTACCCTGCACTCACACAAGGCAACAACCATTCCCCTCGTGCTTTGGGAAGCAAGTGACTGCTAAAAGCCACTTACCCTGTGTGCCTCAGGCACTTGTGCCTTTTCTAGGTGATACTGGGTTCTCTCTGCTGCGAGTCCAGTGCTACTTAAAGACTTTATTTTAGGTAAATCTCAAAATAAACTCAGCTGCCAAGCAGGACTTCGAGGCTTTCAGTAAATCGCTCCCAAAGTGTCTCACAGCGAACCAGCCCCTCACAAGAGCGCTCAGATAAACAGGATTTGCGTTGGCAGAACTATTGCTAAAACACTCTTGCTGCTCTTGGAAAAACAGCCCAAAGAACTGTCCAGTCAGTACAACCCCCCTGCACAGGGAACCGATCCAAGCTGTCCCGGTGGTGAATGTGCATGTCTGCAGCACCACAATATGTGTGTCTGCGGGGTTCGGACCCACCCCGAGGGCCAGAAGAGCTGAAATGCAGCTCAGTGAATGTGCAGGTGAGGTTTTTGCTCGCAGTTGGCCTGCAGGGGCTCGGCTCTCTCGGCTGCCAGTTTAACAAAATAGGAAATGCCATTGGGAGCACCACTCCTTTCCTGTGCTGTGGGAGCAGACGGGGCAGGGGGAGGAATCCTCCGTTCACCCACAGCCCTCAGCCAGCCTGGGGAAGGAGGTTAAAGGAGTTCTTTGTAATGATGTCATTTTTTTTTCTAAAGAAAATCAGCAAACTCTGAGTGACCACTGCCACATCTTCCTCAGCAAACCGAGGGTTCAGCAAACTGTAATTTTGACGAGGCTGGTTCAGCTCCAAACCAGCCTTGAGTCAGCCCCTCAAACCACGAGGTGAGGCTGGGGGAAGGAAAACGGGAGATGGAGAAAGGCTAAAACTGTGAGATATAGAAACAGGGGTAATATTAAAACCCCTCTCCTTAAATATAAAGTATTAACCTTGCACTGAAAAAATGCCAAACCACTAAACAGGGGAGTCACTGAACTTTCATTTCTATTTGCGTCAGAGGGCCCGGGCTCTGCTGCAGAGGGAAGCTCTGTGGGCTCGGTTGGGAGCTCCGGGAGCAGAG